ACGGCTCCTTGCCATCAGATCTGAAAATCTGACGGCCCTAGTGTGACCACGTAGGAAAATACACGAAACATAAACTAAACCCCCGCTAGTGGGTCACGGCCCTGCGTGCACGCAGGTCCGGCCTGAGGGCACGCTTAGACTGCGATACCAATTTATGAGAAATTGCGGAGGTCCAATTTGGGGTTTTAGTGGTGGCCCAGGTCACACCGTGTCCCCAATACGGAAAAGACATGGCTGAGGTCGCCACACGATTTTGGGAAATGGGAATTGGGCAGTCACACGATACCAACCGCAATTCTGCCGCAGTTTTTTTTGGGAAATGGGAATTGGGCAGCCCCCGACTACTCACCAGATCCTCAACTGCTGAATCCACTGATGAAACGAGCTTCCCACTGATGACCACTGATGAAACCAGCTTCCCACGGGATACGCTGATGCAACGAGCTTCCCGCTGCCCTTCGACTCACCACGATGCTTTCTAGAATATTGGCAAGTAAAAGAAGAAGGGGAAAAAAAAAAAAAGKGAGCGTCATGGTGAATCCCGTCATCTCCATGCACCCCTCTACTCCCTCCACACGTCAACATCTGATGTGCCGACAGTGCCGTGCCATTTCCGAAYCCATCCCTGCAGCATGCTGCCTGACACCAACACCTCCACTACGCTTTCTGCTCGTTCATCCCCGCAGCAGCCAATCCTTCAGCTTCATCCCTCCAGCACGAGCCATGCCAACGGGCTGTCTTGCTCATAGAGCTGATGGTAGGGGGGAAAAAAGAAAAAAGAAAAAATTGTCTTGCATCCACGGTCTGGACAGAGACACATACTCTGCCAGGACACAATCTGCACATGCCAAGGAAAGCAGAGCGATGGCTTATCTGTTTCATCACGCTCGACATGAATGAGTTCCCAAACGCGATGTACATTCCCTATATACCAGTCCGGATACATCTGCATTTTCTGTGAAAGATGAGTGACGAGCACGGACAATGGGAATTCTCATGGCCGCCACCCATCTTGCAAGGCGTGTATAGAGTACTTGGAAATGCGGACTATGGGGACGATGAGAGGAGGAATATACATGAATATCACTTCAAGAAGGAAGAGAGAGAAAAAAAAGGGGCAAGATACAGTTTGCAATTGCACTTCGGGCACCCTACCTGGCCAGAAAGCTGGGTTGTATACATTGCCCGAACTGGAATTGCAAACTGTATCTTGGCCCATTCTGCAATTATAACTCATTTTTGTGACATCCTCGTATTTTCCAACAAAAGGAACAAATAGCAGGAACAGAAGAAAGCCATGGCACTGGTGCGGTCAGAAACTGCAGCACATGTTGTCACTGCACCGAGTGCACCATGGCGATGGCGCCCATGTAAGCAGCCGTTTGCAGGAGCAGCTGGCCATGGAGCGTCCGCTGCGCCGCTTTTCGACAGTTCAGACGCGGGCATGGAAAGGCACCCCCATGAATAGTTATCAGTTTTCTTCCCAGATGCATGGAGAGTGTTCGTCTCCCCCATCTCCAAGCTGTCTCCACGACCGTGGACGCATCCGCAAAGGACCGTGGGCAGGTCCGACACGCATCCGAACTTGTTTCGGGATAGATACATCCACTGCGCTGTGGAGTCGAGCACGGAACGCAGAATATGAGTGCATCCGAACTCCGTTTTGGACCAGGTACATCCACAGCGCAGTAGAGTAGAGCACAAGCACGTACTGGTGAGGTAAGGCACAGAAGTTGCATTCAGGAGGTCGTGGGGTTCAATCCCCAATGACCTCACCTGGGGAAGCTTGGTGTTCTACACGCTAGAGATAACCCGTTGGCTGGTCTTAAATTTAAAATTAAGGCTTCTTTAAAATTATAATTATTACTCAAATGTCAAATTGCTTTGTCCCTGTGGCTGTCCTCCTTCTCATGCTATAGCTAAGCTTCTGCAGAGTGGTTTTCAACTTCGACTTTGACTTTGACTTTGACTTCGACTTCAACTCTGACTTTGACTTTGACTTTGACTTTGACTTTAACTTTGGCTTGGACTTATCCCTAAATAGGTTCTCCTTCATCAGAACCATACGTGAGAAGTTTTTGTCATATGGCTCAAGTAGTATGTCAATTATTTTCATTCCGAGTTTGAGTTTGACTTTGACCTTTAATATCCATTCAAGCGCAAAAGTACTGAACGTCCACTTCAACTTTGACTTCGACTCTGACTCTTATGTGACTTTGACTTTGACTTTGGCTTTGGCTTTGAATTTGAGTTAGACTTAGACTTAGACTTCGAGTTTGAGTTTGACGTTGACCTTTAACATCCAATCAAGCGCAAAGGTACTGAACGTCGACTTCAACTTCGACTTCGACTCTCTTATGTGACTTTGACTTTGACTTTGGCTTTGGCTTTGACTTTAAGTTTGACTTAGACTTAGACTTAGACTTAGACTTAGACGTCGAGTTTGAGTTTGACTTTGACCTTTAATATCCATTCAAGCGCAAACGTACTGCAGCGTTCAAAGTTAAGATGGGTATTCAGATGCTCATTTGGGCAATGGGATGCGGGACACCTTTTCCAGCAGTGGTGGTCCCCACCAATAGACTGGAGCAACCTGTCAGTCAGCTAGGAGGGGGGGGGGGGCGCTTATCTCCTCTCCTAGCGGAGGGAGTGGTTCATTTCTTTAAAAACTAAAATAAAATAAAATTAAAAAATGGGAAGCTTGGAACGTTTTGGATCGCAGAGTATGAGAGCAGACTCACACTGGGACTGTGCTGGATGTATCTGACCGCAATTATAGCTGGAGGTAGATGTACCTGACTGTAATGATGCCCAGAGACCATCTGATGAAGAACATGTGTGAGAGACTATGGGAGCAGACACACACTGTGACTGACCTGGATGTATCTGGCTGCAATTGACGCAGGAGCTGGATGTACCTGACTGCAGTTATGCCCGGAGACCATCATGATGTGAGACTATGGGAGCATACTCACGCTGTGACCGTCCTGGATGTATCTGACCGCAATTGAAGCTGGAGATGGATGTATCTGACTGTAATTACGTCCGGAGACCGTTTGATGAAGTACATGTGTGAGACTAGGAGAGCAGACTCACACTGCGACTGGCCTGGATGTAC